TATTCTATTCTATTCTATTCTATTCTATTCTATTCTATTCTATTCTATTCTACTCTAATTCTATTCTAATTCTATTCTAATTCTATTCTATTCTGTATTTCTACTCTACTCTACTCTACTCTACTCTAATTCTAATTCTAATTCTAATTCTAATTCTAATTCTATTCTATTCTATTCTATTCTACCGGCACCCACGAGAGTTGGAAACGAGTTCGAGGAGAGAAGCAACCTGCAACCTGTGACATGATAACAGCGTTTCAATACTTGAGGGGCTGCTCCCAAAGAAGTGGGGGGGGGGGTCAACTAATTTTCCAAAGCACCAGAAGGCAAGGCAAGAAACAACGGATGGAAACTAACTGAGGAGAAAAGCAACCTGGGACTAAGGAAGGATTTCTCAACAGTGACAACAATCAACCAATGGAACGACTTGCCACCAGAAGTTGTGGATGCTCTAACACTGGAGGTTTATAGGAAGAGAATAGACAGCCATAGGGTCTCTTGCTTTAGCAGGGGGCTGGATTAGAAGACCTCCAAGGTCCCTTCCAACTCTGTTATTCTGTTATTCAGTTTACAGCGCAAACTGTACTAGTGTCAGCGTTCCAGAAAACCTCCACTCCAACAAATAACTCCGAGACAGACATCCTCTCAAAAGTTCTGTTTTATTTGGATAGTAAACTGGCACATCTGGGAAATCCCAAATCTGAAAGTACAACCACAAATCCACCCCCTGCACCCCATCATCGCATCACATGCCCCAATCACCATCCGTCCCAACTTGAGACTTTCCCCTCACCCAGGTGCAGAAATAACATGACCTTGACTTAGAAAAAGAATGCTATTATGTCTAACCACGTACACTCCAAGAAATTCCCCCCCTCCCATTTTTCCAGGCTCAAGAACGTGGCAGTGTGGAAGTGTTGGGTGTTAATACGGCATCCAAAGCCGACAACTACATCAGGGGCGTCAAACACAAGGCCCACAGGTTTGACACCCCTGTAGTAAACTAAACTTATCGCTTTCAACTCAACTACTAGCTTAGTAGACCCAGGGAATGCTGCAGACATAGTATATCTTCACCTCAGCAAAACCTTTGACAGAGGCTTGCCAAAAAAAAAATGGATTTATTTTTGACCAGCAATAATGTCCGTTGAGATCTCCCGCTTTCCGCCCATAGGACACAGGCAGTCCTCGACTTTACGACCACAATTGAGCTCCAAATTTCCATTCCTAAGCAAGGCAGTCGTTACATGAGTTTCGTCCCATTTTACAACCTTTCTGGCCACAGGTGTTAAGTCAATCACTTCAGTTGTGAAGTTAGTAACCCAGTTCTTAAGTGAATCTGACTTCCCGCATTAACTTGGTTTGTCCGAAGGTGACAAAAGAGGGGAATCACGTGACCACGGGACACTGCGACTGTCATAAATATGAGTCAGTTGCCAGGTGACTGAATTTTGATCACCTGACCACGGGGAGGCCGCAACAGTTGTTAGGTGTGAAAAATGGCCACAAATCTCTTTTTTTCAGTGCCGTTGTAACTTTGAACGGTCACTAAACGAACTGTTGTAAGTCGAGGATTACCTGTGGCAAAGGTAATCCTTTTTCTAACAATCCCAATGAAGAATTGTCATCTTTACAGCTGGAAGTGTTTGCCGGATCAAAGTTTTTGCTAAATGATCAAACCAAAGTCCAGATCCATCAGTTCAGCTCCCAAATTGATTTAGGAAAACTACCAGGAGGACATGATTTTGAATCCACCTCCCCGCCCCCCCCAAAAAAAATTGTCTTACTGTTCTGACCAAGGCTTCCTGAGACTGTATTTAAGCACACGCTTAGTTAAAACAACTCATTTTATTTCAATGCTGGGAATTATGTGCATTCCCAGCCGGTAATGAATCCCAAACAGTCCCTCGAGATAAGCACCCACCTTTCTCTCCTTTGAATTGCTGCCAACAACTGAAGTGCCAAATGAACTGTAAAAAACCAACCGAAGTACAAAGTCCACACAGAGCTTCAAGGTTTAATCCAAACAGAGAGAACAACTTTTGTTAGGCATGTAAGTCACCTAATAGTTGGGTTGGAAAATATATAAACCAGGATAGACATTTTAATACTGTCTCTTTTAAGGGAATGCTAAAAGTGTAATTGGGTGTGGTTCCTCAAACGGCCATAAGATGGAGCCAGAAACCTGGGTTGTTTAGTGCTGTTCCTGTCCTTTTCTGGAGATTATTGCCATTCCTGTATTGACTGTTGCTGATCATAGTTGGATTTGATGTAAGTCTGTTACTGAACTGTTTTTAATACTGGACTTTGATATTTGGATTATCCCTGAACTGAAAACTGACTGCTTTACCTGTGAATGACTTGGACTGCTTGTTTGGACTTTGCTTAAACGTTTATTGGAAGTAAAAACCTACATTTACTGTACAGTGTATCTGTGTGCTGTGTGTGTGTTATTCTTCACCCCTCTCACTACGTCTCCCTGTATGCGCTCATTCTCCTAACGGGGAACTACCTCAACAACTTTGCTTCCTACAAAGGTTTCTCTACCTTTGCACCTCCTTTATACCTTTATATCTGAGGCTCCAGAGTCAGCACCCCACTCCCAGATGGTCCTGGCCCCATCTCCGCATCGGGCGCAGGACCATCATCCGAGTCCTCCCCAGACTCCCGCACTGGTCCCCGTTCTTCCCCACTGTCCGATTCTGCTGCCGTCTGTACAGGCTGCCGGCGAACCACAACACTTACTCCCAAACCACACCAGGTATTTATTTTATCTACGAGAGCCTCACTTACCCATGTACTGCCCGGATGATGGTTTTTTCTAAGGAATTATTCGTATATTTGCTGTCCAAGTTGAAGACGTATTCCGCCTCCCACTGGAACGTGACTTGGACTGTTTTGTCGCACGAAGTCACTTGGCGACTGGTGGAGAAATCCTCCCTCAGCCGGGTGGCCAACACAATGGAGCGAGCGGGTGGTAAATGGTTCGAAACCGGTTTGCCCAAATTCTCCTGGTGCTGGAAAGGAAGCAGTTTTCCAACCAATGGACCCGGCTTATCCGGATTCACCCCGTTCCTCGAGTTCGGAGAATGCGGCGTCTCCTGTTCGGAAGTCTCGGAGACGGGAGTGGCGTACGAGTGCTCTAAAGAAATCATGACACTCGAGTCCAACAGATCCCCGGTCTCGTTCGGAAGTGCTGGAGGACTTTTGACGAAGCTGGTCCTCGCCTTTTTCTTTTTGGCGGGATTGAGGGCGCTTCGGTCCTTCGTGTTCAAAAGCCAGTCCTTATCCCGGCCGGTTTCTTTGGCGGGCCAAAGGGATGATCGGGACATCTGTCCCGGCAGGAAAGCGCCTTTCCGTTTCTTGGTAGCCCTGTGATATTCGTGATCCAATGATTTGTGCAAAAATTTCCCACGGGGGAGACGATGTTCCCGGGACAGACGGAAACGCCCGAAATCTCTTCGACTGTTCCCATCCAAGGGAGAGTTACAGGAACTCAGTGCTAAATCAGCCAACAAGTTCAATGCATGGGAATCGCACTCTTCCCTTCTAGTGGGCATCTGGTGGGCATCCAGGGCAGCCGTGTCCTTTTCTACAGAGGCAGCCTCGGTCCATTGCTTTTCGGAAGAAACGATGTGGAGGTTTTTCCTTGGAGCTGCGCAAGGAGAGACAAAAAAAAATATTAGGGAGGGAGCAAACGTGTTTGTCTCCAGTGGTGACTTGGTTTTAAACTGATCACGAGCGTCCAAGATAATTCTGGGTGGATTTGTTCAGCTGGATCTACTCCATGTGGATAAATCTAGGAAGGTGGAAAAGGGTTGTGTGCAATGCCCTGAACAGCAAAAACAAGGGGGCAGGGATGGATAGAATTATTAGAATTAGAATTGTATTAGAATTAGAATTTAGTTAGAATTAGAATTGAGTTGTATTAGAATTAGAATTGTATTAGAATTATAATTGAATTATAATTAGAGTTGAATAAGAATTGAATTAGAATTGAATTAGAATTAGAATTGGAGTTGAATTAGGATTATTAGAATTAGAATTACTAGAATTAGAATTAAATTAGAATTACAACTGAATTAGAATTACAACTGAATTAGAATTGGAGTTGAATTAGAATTATTAGAATTAGAGTTGGATTAACAGAAATAATTAGAGTTGCATTTGAATTAGAATTAAATTAGAATTAGAACTGAATTAGAATTGGAGTTGAATTAGAATTATTAAAATTACAATGACTGGAATTAGAATTAAATTAGAATTAGAATTGAATTAGAATTAGAATTGGAGTTGAATTAGAATTTTTAGAATTAGAGTTGTATTAACAGATTAACAGAAAGAATTAGAGTTGTATTTGAATTAGAATTAAATTAGAAAAAATTGAATTAGAATTGTAGTTAGAATTATTAGAATTACTGGAATTGGAATTAAATTAGAATTGAATTAGAATTGTAGTTGAATTAGAATTGTAGTTGAATTAGAATTATTAGAATTAGAGTTGTATTAACAGATTAACAGAAAGAATTAGAGTTGTATTAGAATTGAATGAGAATGAGAATTAAATTAGAATTGGAGTTGAATTAGAATTATTAGAATTAGAGTTAAATTAAAATTAGAATTGAATTAGATTTAGAACTGAATTAGAATTGGAGTTGAGTTAGAATTATTAGAATTAGAGTTGCATTAGAATTAGGACTGAATTAGAATTGGAACTGAATTAGAATTATTAGGATTATAATTATAATTACAATTAGAATTCTTTATTGGCCAAGTGTGATTAAAATGGGTAAAATAAATGGACAAATGACCCCTCTCAAAAGGTGCCAAGCTTAACTACGTCAGCAATGGACGATCCTGAATAGGATTCGCATTCGTATCCTCCACTCAGTGTGATTGTGGGGTGCCACATCAAACTAGATCACCTCGTGACTGGCTGTAAGCTGAGGTTTTATTTTTATTTTTTTCATATAAACAATGCTGCGCTTCCATGGTTAGATGGCCCAAACCAGAGATCCCTAACCTTTCCTGCTTGTTCGTTAAGCGAATCAGGCAGTCGTACAGTGAACAGCTTCCCTCCCCCCCTTTGACTTTGCTTGTTGGAAGCTGGCTGGGAAGGCTACAAATGGCAATCCCAGGGCAATGGAACCGTCATAAATCTGAAATCGGACTGCCCTCTGTCAGAAATGGTGTAGGGTCTTGGGCAGGGGGTTGGACTAGATGACCTACAAGGTCCCTTCCAACTCTGATCATCTGTTATCTGAACCCGTCGCCAAGGGCCCGCTGTGCCAAACGTGAAAACCATTTGTAACATCCTCTTCTATTTTTCAGGGCTAACCTCAAACGGTCACTAAACGAATGGTTGTTAAGTGAGGAACCACCTGTACCAGCTTCTCATCCCTGCCCCACCTTTAAAAAAAAAAAAAAAAGAAGGTATGGAGGACGAGGAAGCAAAATTATTATTATTTTTCCCCCAGCTAGGGTTTCCATATTTGAACTGCCGCCATCTTACTTGGTTCTTTGGCGTCCATTTTGTCCACATTCGTCACTTTCATGGCCACGTTCAGCCGGGGTTTCTTTTCCTCCGTGGCAAGGCCTGCCGAAGACCCCGTGGCTCCCTCAAGCGACACACTCCTCGGTCCTTGAATGAATTCTGCGGACAAAACTTCGGCCCCTGGCAGAGGGCAGAAAAACCGGTGAGTAACGATGGTTTCTATGGCACTAAAGGATTAATAAGCCATCCTCGTTTAGCGAAGATTGGGACAGGCAGCGTGGTCCTTAAGTGAAGCAGTTGCTCAATGAAGCCCAGTGAGTACCTTGGCTTTCTGGTGGTGGCACAGCGCAAAGGATTAAAGGCAATCCTCATTTAGCCACCACAATTGGTCCTGGCAATGTGGCCCTTAAGGGAAGCAGTCGCTAAGTGAAACACGGGGAGTACCAATGGCTTCAGGCGGTGGCATCCCAGGAAACAAAAAAAATTCAGCCCTCTCAAATTCAGCTGCCCAAACCATCTTTACTAAACTACTTATTGGCACAGCACAAAAGATTTATAGCTGGTCCTCATTTAGTGACCACGTTTGTGACAGGCAACTTGGTCAAATGAAGTGGTCGCTAAGTGAAACCCCATGAGTACCATGGCTTTTGGTGATGGCCTCAGAATGGGCAAGAAGCCAGGCCTGTTAGTTCCCTGTCTATTTCAAATTTAGCTGCCCAAAGCCCCCTTACTAATTTACTCATCTGCACAGCACAAAATATCCATAGGTACAACCCTCATTTAGCGACCATGGTTGGGACCAGTTAAGTGAAGTGGTCACTAATGGAACTTGCAACTGTGCTTAGGATCTGACTTCGACTTTCCTTGCTTCAAAGATTGTGCCTGACTCCAAAGTCACTTTTTTCATCACCGCCAAACGGTGAACTAAGGCAATTTATATCTTACAAGACCCAATCTGGATTGCAAACCTCTGAGCCAACCACTAGAGGGCAGCAAAGCATCAGTTAACAGTCTCACTCTTTCTGGCCCTCTAGTGGTCCCACTGGGTTTCGATTTTCAGAAACCGGTTCTACCAGCATGTTTGCACTGACAAGGCTGGTTTCGTGCAACCACCAACACCACAGACTTAAAAATGCAGAGAATTCGCTCGGGAGAAACTTAGCAGATAGGGCCATGATGCAAAAGAAGACCGAAGAATCGCTTTGGATATCAAGAAGGGCAGCACGAAAATAAATAAAAATATAAAAGAGAGAGAGAGAGAGAGAGAGAGAGAGAGAGAGAGAGAGAGAGAGA